GCAATTAAGAAAACAATTCTATTTACAATTGCATAAAAAATATTTGAGTAAATTTAATCAAGGAGATAAAATATATGTATACTGAAAATTATCAAACAAATGAAGATTACGCAAATAAATGGAAAGATATCCTGTGTCTATGGATTGAAAGACTAAATCTTGTTAAAATGTCTGACTGGGCATGGTGGATCACGCCTGTAATCTCAGCACTTTGGGAGGCTGAGGCAGGTGGATTGCCTGAGCTCAGGAGTTCATAACCAGCCAGGGCAACACAGTGAAATCCCATCTTTACTAAAATGCAAAAGATTAGCCAGCCATGGTGGTGTGCACCTGTAGTCCCAGCTCCTTTGGAGGCTGAGGCACGAGAATTGCTTGAATCTGGGAGGCAGAAGTTGCAGTGAGCTGAGATTGTGCCACTGCATTCAAGCCTGGGCCACAAAGCGAGACTGTTAAAAAAAAAAATTCCATACTATCCAAAGCAATGTACAAATGCAATCTAATCCCTACCAAAATTTTAATAGCACTCTTCACAGAAATAGAAAAAACAATCTTAAAATTCATATACAGCCACAAAAGACCCTAACTAGCCCTAACAATCTTAAGCAGGAAGAACAAAACTGGAGGCATTATGCTACCTGATTTCAAAATACTCTACAAAGTTATAGTAATTAGAACAGCATGAGAAATATTCGAGGTGATAAATATGCTAATCACCATGATTTTACCTTAACACATTTTGCCAGAAAAAATTATACACCCTTGCAGATCATAGCATTTCTAATTCATGATCCCTAATCTGACATGGTCAAATCTTTGTCATGTTTTCTCAAACTCATTATGCAACCCTTATATCTTACTTTGTTGAGAAAATCACACCACCAGGAATGGTTTTTCTTAGGATCACATCAGCTACTCTTAAATTATCTAGAGGCCCCATTCTTAACACCTCTCTTCCAGGCCCATGTCTCCATTCTAATAGAGGACTATGATTTCTGTCAGAGTTTCTGATCCCATTCCTCTGGGATCTTGCACCATTAGTCATAACTCTCTATTAGTGTCTTCCACTTTTTTATTTTTGTGAAATTCTTTTCACCTGCTTACAAACATGCTTAAAAATCTCTCATTAGTAAAAGAAAAAAAAAAACTACCCCATTGACTACATAACTTCTGCTGTTCATTTCCCAATATCTCCTCCCTTTTCATCCAGACTTTATAAAGGACATGTTTGGCCTTTCCCCCCCTCATCCACAGGCTGTTCACATCCTCTCCAATTTGCCAGAGTTTCTGTTCTTAAGGAAATAGTCCATGTGAGTTTTGTATTGGGTGTTAAAAATATATATATTCCAGGGTAAAATAAGAGTGAGAGCTCTGTGTGTGTGAAGTATTTAAAAGCTATTTGGGTTTTTAATTGTATTAAAAGTCACAAAATTTAAAAACAAGTCTTCCTTAAGCATTTCTGTTCGATTTACAAATCTCGTTATTCTGTTTAGAGTTGAGTATAATGAGAAGTATCACCTTCACTTTTTTATTGATTTCTGGATTAGCTACTTTTGGATTAACATTTCTATATTGAACAGAATAATTTTCCTCAGTACTTTAATTATATTCCATTAAATATTTTAAACAGTTTTTCAAAACTTTGATTCTAAGTTTTAAGCATTTCAAATACCTGACAGGACAAATTTACAATTCCTATAAACAAGATGTTTCCAAGGACTCAGATAATGCTTGAAATAAAATTATTTATATTCAAAAAATATAACAAATCAAAATACCTTAAATAATCTGATAATATACAGAAACTTGGTCAAATTATTTTGGTCTTTCAGCATAAAATCAAACTCAAAATCCATGTACATTTAATACAATTAAAAACCCAAATAGCTTTTAAATACTTCACACACACAGAGTTAGGTGAGTTTCTTAACCCATGACAACTTGCCAGCTTTAATACCTCCAGGTGAGGATGGTTACCAGCCAGATTGGGCCCATTTTGTAGTACCCATCCAGCACAGACACTGGTCGGGGCAGAAATAAAACGATTCGGTGAGAAAGCTGGTATGGTTGGCTGAGGTAATACAGTCCATGCATTTGTGTGAATACTTCCTCTTGAATATTTGATAATTCTGGAATGGTTTGGAGAAGATTTCAAAAATAAAATCTTTAATAAGAGGGAACTGTAGGATACTGAAGAACCATTGCTCAAGACCCAATATACTCAGCTGTTGTTGATACCATTTCAGTACTTTGTTAGCTAGGACCTAGAAGGTGGGAAGACATTGATGACAGATTATCATAAAGGAGGGATGCTGCTGAAACCTTTATATTGTTTCATCATCAGTGTTGTTGTTGCAAGGTGACCTAGATTTTTACAAATATCTTCAGAAAAGCAAGGGTACAGGTTAACAGAGGTGGATTTGTAGGATAAGAACAGATGGGCAGGGCAAAATCTATGTTCATAGATAGACCCTTGAGACTCTCCTTGTCTTGTTGACATAGTAATCAAAAAATGAGACCACTGATTATTGAAAAAAATATCTTCCTTTTATTTTAGGGCTTGTTAAGAAAAAACATGACCCAAAACTTGGAAATAAGGCAAAAACAGTAATACCTACCTTTTCAAAGATACTGTACTAAAGAAAGCACTGTCCTACAAGCCTGCGCAAAGGTCATCTAATGACCTTTGGGTAGCAAGGGGTCATGATTCAGGCGCTACCTTGAGCAGAAAACAGTGGCCCAAGATTTCAGCCAAACAGCTCTCCACCTGTTTTTGAACAACTTTGAACTGAGAATGCTTTTGTACAACCATAAGTAGTTGGAAAAATATCAAAAGTAGAATAATATTTTGTCACATGTGAAGTTTATGTGAAATTCAAACTTTAGAAGACTTTCCTCTTCACAGACATCACATTTTCAAGAGCAAATGTTTGAGCCCTTATCTTCAAGTTATGGCAGAAAATTTTCTCCAAAAGTCCAGCCTGGTCCTCCCCCAAGTTTCCAACTCCTATGCCTCGGGATATTTTATGCTTACAGGGTCTAACTTAGTTACAGTGTCTAAGTTTTAGCAGAGACGCAGTGCTGAGTAGAAACTGAACTTGCTAGTCATATCAAGGCACTTAAGTTGGCTAGGATCCCCTACTTAGGTAGCGGCCATAAAGCCCAGGGCATCCCTGTGCCCTCAATGGTTCATTTCTGAGTGGTGGGCTTCCTGCTCCTCAACCGAGCAATCAGCAGAAAGGCCTCTAGAAAGCTACATTCTCTTCATCCAAGGGCTCCCAGTCTCCTATTCCTCAAAGGAGCACCCGGATTCTACTTCTATTCTTCTTTTGCCATTTCATTTTATAACGTAAAAGAAATAGATGGTTGAGGCCGGGCGTGGTGGCTCACGCCTGTTATCCCAGCACTTTGGGAGGCCGAGGCGGGTGGATCACGAGGTCAAGAGACCGAGACCATCTTGGTCAACATGGTGAAACTCCGTCTCTACTAAAAATACAAAAAATTAGCTGGGCATGGTGGCGCACGCCTGTAATCCCAGCAACTCGGGAGGCTGAGGCGGGAGAATTGCCTGAACCCAGGAGACGGAGGTTGCGGTGAGCCGAAATCGCGCCTTTGCACTCCAGCCTGGGTAACAAGAGAACAAGAGCGAAACTCCGTCTCAAAAAAAAAAAAAAAAAAGAAAGAAAGAAAGAAAAAAGAAATAGATGGTTGTAACAGAATAAAGAAAATTTTACATTGCGAGAAAATTTAGACCTAAAGCATATAGTAATGAGAGGACAAAAGTCTATACTATTTAAGTAAACAGGTGCTATGAGCAATTTCCAGGCTAACATCACACTGGTATTTTGAATTAAACTGTACTTGTGTTTAGTCCGTGTTTTGTTGCTATAAGGAAAGAGGAAAGCATCTCCTTTCTTGGCCCTCCTCCCATCTCCAAGCTAATTTGCAGCATTTCTATATCTCAGACTCCCCCCTTAAGATCCTTGCCACCCATTATTTTGGTCTCATAGTGCTTAATCCGTCCAGTAAGGTTAAATTGGATTATCCCAGTAGGAAAGGGATGGGGGCTTTGAGAATGAGGGATTATCCCTCTAAAGGGCTGATGGTGTGTGTGTGTGTGTGTGTGTGTGTGTGTGTGAGAGAGAGAGAGAGAGAGAGGGAGAGAGAGAGAGAGAGATTATTCCTCTAAAGGGCTGATGGTGTGTGTGTGTTTGTGTGTGTGTCTGTGTGTGAGAGAGAGAGAGATTATCCCTCTAAAAGGCTAGTGTGTGTGAGAGATTATCCTTCTAAAGGGAGTGTGTGTGTGTCCTGCTACTGTTTAATGATGGAGACCCTAATCTGGACCCTGAATCCAGGTGTATTGGATGCCGCTGCGGTGTAGAAAGGATTAACGATGCCCCCTGCCGGGTTAGAGCAGGAGTTGGCGCAGGGTCTCAACCCCTTAAGAGCCGCCCCTCAAACTGAAAATTAGTAAATCGTAATTCGTAAACCAGAAAGATTATAACAGTTGTTCTGCGTATTTCCCTTTCGTCATCCCAGTGCCTTGGGTCAAGTCCATTCCAGCTCTGTCCTCTAGGAATGAAGGAAATGCGCAAACCCGCGGTGGGTTCGCAGCCGAAGGGACGGCAAACCACGTCCCCGCGACCGCCGCCCCGCGTTAACTGCCCCAGAGACTCTCAGGGGCCCGCCGGTTCCTTCCTGATGAGGATTCTCCCTCCAGCGAGAACTTCTGGAACGCCGCGGGGCCTGATTTTGCAGCCGAGGCCTCCGACGCCGCTAATATTGGGCCAAGCAGAGAGAGCTGCTCTTCCTTATAGGGTTTTTGTGAAAGTTAAGTGGGCCAATTAAAGTGCAGACATACAGTCTGGAACAATACAGAGCTCCATAAATGTGCTCCATTATGGTCATTATCCGTTAGTTGTAACAGCGGATGAATAAAAACAACACAAATCTGGAGAACCGGAAAGGTCTGCAAAAGGGGCGGAACGCGGGAACTTCGATTTGGGGAAGGGGTGGCGGCGGAGATCCCACACAAGCAGCCAATCCAGCTGTCCCGGGGAGGAAGAGGAGGAGCCAGGGCCCGCCCCGGGTCTCCGCACTGCTGACTCCCGCGCTGTGAGGTTGGCACAGCTGCCGCTCTTTGGCTCGCTTGGTTCCCTTAGTCCCGAGTGCTCACCCACTGCAGCTTCCTTTCCCGTGCAGACATGGCTTCAAGCACCACCACCACCGTCGTGAAGGTGAGATGAGCCCTCCCAGCTGCAGCGGTCCGCCCTCTCCGGTGCCTTCTCGCCTCCGCCCCGGGGAACCGCGCCTCGGGGGGCCGTGCGCCCTGCCCTTGCGCCCCTGCAGTGGCCGGGAGGGACGGGGACGCGGCACTCGGGACTCACTTGCCGCGCGAGGAGAGGGTATGCTTGCAAACGACCCCCTCACACACACACACCACCTTTTGGCTCATCTGCACCCGCACCCCTTTGAAGAGAGGGGTCGTGGGTGTGAGAAGCTGCGCCCCTGCCGCCACCATTCCCGAGCACCACTCTTTTTCCAAGAAAGGCACCCGGCTGGAGCCAGCAGGTGTCCCAGGTGTCTGGGCGTCTGCAGCTTCTGTGACCGTCTGTCTCTTAGTGCCTTGAGGGACTTCAGTTTCCGCTCTCTGACTCCGCTCGCTGCCTGAGGCCCACGTGGGAGAACTGCTTACTTGCTCTTTTGCTTGCTTCCGGCTTCTTTTTCCTCTAAACCTGGGCCTTCTCCGTTCTGAAGTTTTTCCCAGCAGCGTAATGCTCTAGGATTCCAAGACTTTTTAAAAAAACATACAAAAGAAGTACAGGCGTCCCATTTTAGGGCTTCACCATTTGAAGGCCTCTGGCTTGAAACTGCTTTGTTTTGCAGCCTTGCAAGTTGAGTTCGATTTCCCTGTGCCCTAGGCCCTCAGGGGCCTTGATACAAGGGATCATTGTGCGGTGGGAGGCTTTGTGCAGAGGAGGGCACGAGTTCTCAGAGTAGAAGCTGGCTTCCCTGGGGTTTTAAATACTTCTCTCCTGGTTAGTGTCCGGAGAGAGAATTACAGCACATAAAGAAACATTGATAAAACTTAAGAACTTTTTCAGGCAGTTTATTACTGGCTAAGCAACTCAGTTAACTTATTTGACTTTTAGAAATTTTTGGCCTATGGGATAGGAAGGTTGCGGTCTTCTCCAAATCATCTCAGTTCCCTACGCTCGACTGCAGTTTTCCAGGGAGAAGGCGAATCTCTGTGGTCAATGTGTAATCAGCCAGATTAATTTATTAAGCCCTTGAAGGTTTAAATGAGCCCCTTAAAATGAGAGGAATGATGAAGGGTGTTGCAGCCAGAGTTATGTATGAAACTTATGTTGTCATTTTGAAAAGAATCTTACATCCAGCAAATATATATAGAAGGCCTCACCCCTGCCTTCATGTCATGGCAGAAATGGTTTTCGTGAAACTTAGGTACCCACGTATAAACTGAGAACTTTACTGCAGAATTTGCCAGGAGGGCTAAAATTATGTTGTCTGTATTGCACATGGTTGAAGCTTATTAAGTGGTAGTGCTTATAAGGGGGAACTGAGATTAATTTGGAATGATCTTTTCCCCAACAATTATTAAGTTATTGTGTTAGATGTCATTAGGCCACAACTTTTCACCTTCTCCTTATAGGAATACACTTAAAGTGCCACTAAAAACAGAGAGATGGTGATTAATCTGGTTAACATTCCCCCTGCCACACCGTTTCCTTTCAAATTAATACAGTGCATTTAAGTGCAGAATGGGCAATGTGATTCTCAGAGGCCTGATGTAAATATTGAATAATGTGTATTTTTGGTCTTGGCAAGCTTCTGGATATAAAATTAAGAGGTACATATGGTGCTAGGACTGCCTGTTGATTTTTCTTTTAGTTTAGAACAGATGACAGCTTTGCTGTTGAGATTCCATGATGCCAACACCATAGTCCCCAGACTTCTAAGGCAACATTCTATATGGAAAATGTGAGGTGCCAGTGTCCAGAGTAAAACAGGTTAAAACCACGACCTATTCCCAAATTATAGAATTATGGAGCTGGAGTGTTCCTTCAAGACCATCGTATAGCCACACAAAGCCCTTTTGTGAGTGTAAAGTTAAGGCCCAGAAAGGTCAGCTAAGGGGTCCAGAATTACACAGCTGGACCTAAAGAATGACAGAATTGGGCCTAGAGCCCGGCACTCCACCAACTAGATGTGCGGCATTTCTGAAATCTGAAGTGTGATCTCTCTGCCCTGTTTTCTTGTGACTGAATGTACAGTAAAAGATGAGCACTTTATAGAATGTCCGTCTTGAAGAGGGGGGCAGAGTGCATGCATGAAGCAGGCCGCCCTGTATTCCCACACCCAAGTAAGTATTAGGTGTGGGAGGCATGTGTGTGTCTGAGCCCCACTGGTGTCACAGGCAGGTGGTGTGTGTGGTTTGATTCACTGCCATCATTTCATCTGGTCATTTATGAAACAACAGTTCAGTTGGAAGAGGAGGGGCTGCAGCTCAGCTCAAGGTGGTGAGGGGAAGAAAAAACTGTAGGGACAAGAGACCCAGGTTCATATCCCAGTGCCATCACTTCCTCATCAGCAAATAAACCCCTCAGCCTTAGGGTCCTCAGCTGTGAGGCTAGAGTTAGTAATAACTACTTTGAGAGGTTGCTGGATTTAAATACAGTAACGTGTAACACACTTAGCCCAGTTCTAGGTCCTCCTTTAATGTCAGCCCAAGTACTTCTCTTTCTAAAATTGAGATATGAACAGGGGATGGATCTTAAATTTATTCTCAATTTAAGAGGTGCAGTTAGCTCATGCAAGCGAAAGATTCCACTGAGTTTTGGATTGGCAGTATATTTGGCATATCTTTCAAATCTAGCCATCTACTGGTGAATCCAATTCAAAAATATTTATTGAATACCTGCCAGACCCTGGGGATGCATCTTTGAATAAGCGAGGCCTCTATTTTCTTCAAGTTCATATTGTAGTCAGGGTGCAAAACCAACTGGCATGAAAGCAAAACAGCAGTAAGAGTCAGTTGGGTAAGGGGTGTCAGAAAACACTCCTAGGGAGGTAGATATTAAGCTCTGCAGTGGTCTGCCTCCAAAATCTGTATGTTGAAACCTAATCGCCAATGTGATTATATTAGGAGATCGGGCCTTTGGGGGGTGATTAGGTTATAAAGGTAGAGCCCTCGTGAATGGAATAAGTACCCTTACAAAAGAGGCCCTAGAGAGCTGTCTTGGTCCTTCCATTAACTAAGAGGACACCATTTATGAGCCAAACATGGGCCTTCACCAGACAATCTGCTGTGACCTTGGATTTGCCAAGCCTTCAGACTGAGAAATTTCTGCTGTTTATAAGCCACCCAGTCCTAAGATATTTTGTTATAGCAGCTTGAATGGACTTAAACAAGCTGATAGTGTAAATAAGGATAAAGATCCAAGTGAAGACCTGAGGATAGAGATGAGGGTCAGGACAGCAAAAACCAAGGATTCACGAAAGTGAGCTCAATACGGTAGGAATGGAAATCACAGATGCAGAGTGAGAATTGGGTGGATGCAGCTCATAAGGCCATTCTTGTAGACCATGATCAAGAAATTTCATTTTATTTTAAATGTTTTGGAAGCTGTTGAAGGGTTAAAAGCAGGAGGCAGCATTTGATTTACATTTTAAAATGATTACCCTGGCTGCCAAGTACAGAATAGCCTGTGGGGGACAGGGGAGGGGAGAGCTAAGAGATCAGGCCAGAAGTCTTGGTGCTGGTGCTGAAGTCTGGGGTAGGAGCCATGGAGGTGGTGAGGAATAATCAGATTGGGGATAGAATTTGCAGGTAGAGCAGAGAGATGGGTAAGATGTGGAGAGTGCAGGAAGAAGAACAGGATGATTTCTGGTTTTGACCTGGAAAACCAAAAAGATGGTGGTATTGGTGGATCATTTCAGAGTAGGAGGTAAAGGGCCACAAGTGACTCCTTGGAGCCAAGGAGGGTGAGTGTAGGATCCCTTCCTCCCAGATACTGCTGGTTAGGGGGCCAGAGGCTGAGATGCTGAAGGGCCTCTTTGCTGCAGGAGCAGAGTGGGTGGCAGGTTGAGGGAGGGAGAGAGGGAGCCACCTGGAGTGAGAGTAATTGAAACAGTCCTTTTTTTGTGGCTCACTCCAGTGAGAGGTGGTCCAGGCAGAAAGTGAGGATACTACTTGGTGGGGAGCCATGGAGAGAGGCAGCAGGAGCCAGAGGCCATGAGGTTAACACTGCCCCTGTCTGAGAGGACCTTAGGGAGACATTGTCCTGCAGCATTAGCCAAGGGTAGGCAGTATTTGTGACTATATAGAGGGCCGAACCAGTCTTTGGCACCCAGATAGAGGACTTTCTGAAGGGCTCCTGCAGTGTACCATGGCTCCCCTGAGCAGCTTCCCAGCTTTCATTCCAGCAGATTAATAATAAAACTTGGCCAGGCGCAGTGGCTCATGGCTGTAATCCTAGCACTTGGGGGGCTGAGCTTGGTAGATCACTTGAACTCAGGAGTTCGAGACCAGTCTGGGCAGCATAGTGAAGCCCCATCTCTGCAAAAAAATCACAAAAAATTAGCCAGGCATGGTGATGTGCACTTGTAGTCCCAGCTTCTTGGGGGCTGAGACAGGAAAATCACTTGATCCCAGGAGGTTGAGGCTGCAGTAAGTGGAGATTTCACCATTGCACTCCAACCTAGGTGACAAAGTGAGACCCTGTTTCCAAAAAAAAAAAAAACCACATATACAATATATTCTCTTACAGATCTGGAGTCCTCAAATACAAAATGAGTCTTACAAGGCTAAAGTTAGCATGTCTATAGGGCCGATTCCTCTTGGAAAATCCATTTCCGTGCCCTTTTCAGTTTTCTCAATCTATAGATCCAGGAGCTAAATAAACCTCTTTTCTTTATAAATTATCCTGGCTCAGGTATTCTGTTATAGCAGCAGAAAAACAGACTAAGAAAACTGTTATGCTTTAAGAGATTGGGACACAGGCACATACATGGAGAATGCTGCCATCTACAAGCCAAGGAGACTGACCTTAGGAGAAATCAATCCCAGTCTCGCCTTGAAGTTGGACTTCTAGCCTCCAGAACCGTGAGGAGATAAGTTTCTGCTGCTTATGGGGAAAATCCATTCCCTTGCCTTTTTCAGCTTCTGGAGCACTTCTTGGCCCGTGGCCCCGCATCATGTCCCTTTTTCTCTCCC